GGGATTTCCGACATGCATGTCGGGATGGTTTGCCAGAACCATGGTTTGGCAGCCAACGCCGAAAACCGATGTCAAAAACCAAAGTTCTCCAAAATGAAAACCAAGTGTTGGAAACTCTTATATAATGTATTTTAGGTAGAAACCAAGTATAAAAACGTAAAAACCACTTCATTAAGGTAAAAACCACGGCTAGCCAAGTTTATGCCGTTCTACATGGTTTTCACCAAAAGACCAAAAACGAAAGGTGGTTTTTAACATTTTTTTGTTGGAGAACTATTTGGATATGCCCAGAAGTAAAAACCAATCATAAAATATTAAAAACCACTTGATTGATTTGGGCACCAAAAACTTGATGCGCAAAGAGGTGCGCCTTGTGAACATATGTTTTTTATTTTTAATTTTTATTAATTAGGTTTAGGGATTACTGCTAATATTTATTACGATTAACCCCTCCCAACTTTTACGATCCCAAGGAGATTAAACGGCATACCTACTGGGCAAATTAAATGGTTGTTTTCTCTTTCTTATATTTCTTCGATTCAGTACGACTCTTCCTCCCCAATCTCGCAAGTCCTTCTCCAAACCGGCACACCTACTGGGCAAGTGGCAGAAGCAGGTTAAGTCGGCTCTCTTCCTTACAATATTTTTTCTCTCTCGCTAGTTTCTCTTCTTTCTACTGGGCAAGTCCTTCTCTGTTTTTCATTTGTTTTTTTATAAACATATTGTTCTCTGTTTTTTATATTATTCTGTTTTTTAAACGTTTGTTTCTTAACCTTTATTATGCTTTTCAAAATTATATATATATACACACACACACACACACACAAATGTAGATATACTAGAAATTCTACCAGTGCCTTAATATGCACCTCATGTTCGTGATGCGCGCGCATTATTTGCGCATCGTGCATCGAGGCACTAGAGGTCCTTTGTGCATCAGTGTGCATCACACCTTAAATAACTATGCTCCCCACCTCCTCCTGACTAATACACTGACAATACGAAAGTCCCTATGTCTCTCCGGCTGCCCCAA